ATACCTCTGAACCAATTTTAAAATACCCTCTTCATAAATCCTCACTTCAACTGAAGCCACCAAATCGTCTGTAATCAAAGAAGGGCGACCGGAGCGGTCCTCATCATGGACGTTGTCACGGCCATCTTTGAATTGTCGTACCCACTTACGCACTTTGGTTTCACTCATAACAGTATCACCGTACACTTCACAAATCTGTCGATGAATTTCTGCAGCAGGCAGGTTCCTTGCTGACAAAAACCGTATCACTGAGCGAACCTCACATGCGGCGGGTGAGTTGATAGTCTTAAACATTTTTAAAGCACAGAACAGAACCGTACAGGTTAGCTACAGAGCGGAAACTGAGCACAGTTGTTCCCGAGGCATGCCGGTACATGACGCACGTGCTCGTTGCGGTATGCACGCGAACTACTAGTGTCTACAACAAAACGGACCTTACTTTAAAAATACCCCTTGTATTATATTATGAGCATAGTCCAATATCAGTATTATATATTACTATATTGTACTATACCATTATTTTGTAATATTATTAGTAATATTACTAGCAATATAAAATATATAATTTTATATATTATTGTTACTATTAGTCCCCTTCAGGGTGAGAAGGGCAGAATATAAATGCTTTAAATAATAATAATAATAATAATAATAATAATAATAGTAATGATGATGATGATGATGATGATGATGATAATAACAATAATAGGGCCGTGTGAAAGGGCCCTAAAATATTAGAGGGTTATCTATATGTGAAGGCGATTCTTCATTTCTGGATTTTCTTCTGATGTAAGCATAGGTTATAAGTATTTGCTTGGTTTCTTCAGGAGGCACTAAAAATCTCAAAATAGATTCTTCTTAGATTTTTTTTGAGAGAATCTGGTTTTGTGAAATTTCTCAATTGAGAAGTGGTGAGGTTTCAGCATATCTGCCCTTTGCATTCGCGGTCCTAAACACTCACAATGGAAATGCTGCTTCCTGGGATCATAGAATCATAGAATCAAAGAGTTGGAAGAGACCTCATGGGCCATCCAGTCCAACCCCCTGCCAAGAAGCAGGAATATTGCATTCAAATCACCCCTGACAGATGGCCATCCAGCCTCTGTTTAAAAGCTTCCAAAGAAGGAGCCTCCACCACACTCCGGGGCAGAGAGTTCCACTGCTGAACGGCTCTCACAGTCAGAAGTTCTTCCACATGTTCAGATGTAATATCCTCTCTTGTAGTTTGAAGCCATTGTTCCGCGTCCTAGTCTCCAGGGAAGCAGAAAACAAGCTTGCTCTCTCCTCCCTGTGACTTCCTCTCACATATTTATACATGGCTATCATATCTCCTCTCAGCCTTCTCTTCTTTAGGCTAAACATGCCCAGCTCCTTATAGGGCTGGTTCTCCAGACCCTTGATCATTTTAGTCGCCCTCCTCTGGACACATTCCAGCTTGTCAATATCTCTCTTGAATTGTGGTGCCCAGAATTGGACACAATATTCCAGGTGTGGTCTAACCAAAGGCAAAACACATTATATATCAGGGCTATTTTTTCTAAAATGCAAAAGCTTTGGAATACATCCCATTGGACATTCGAGAATTTTTGGAATAAAATCCTCTAGATGTGTTGGCTGGCAGATTTTGGGAATCGGCAGTCCCAAACAGTAGCTGTTCCAAACTCTGCCCCTAGATGTTGCTAAACTCCAAATTCCCATCAATTTCCAGCCAATGTAGCCAATTCCGATGGATGGTGGAAGGTTCTTTATCAAACTCTGAGAACAAGTGGTTCTCCAGCCTTGTTTCAAATGCACAGAAGTATTACAGTATTATAACACTGTTCTTGACCTTGACAAGTATTTCTGAAGGCTGAGCATTGACTTAAGTTGTGCTCTGGAGTTTGGGTAGAGTTTGTAAGTTACTTTGTTGTTGTAGAGCTCCCAGAACTCCCCTACTACCATGGTCCTGCTGGCTCGTGTATTCTGAAAGCCTTGAGTTAAATAAGTTACTTTTTCATCTTATACATGTGAGATAGTTCAACGGGGAGCAAATAACTCTGGACTCAACCTGTAAAAAAATTGAAGTCCATATCTATATAAATAAAAATGTAATGCTCATTTGTGGTATTCACAGAACTCAAAAACCACTGGACGAATTAACACCAAATTTGGACACAAGACACCTAACAACCCAATGTATGTCCTTCACTAAAAAAAAATTGATTTTGTCAATTGATTTTGTCATCCCGTATAGACTACTGCAACACACTCTACATGGGGTTGCCCTTGAAGACTGTTCGGAAACTTCAACTGGTCCAACAAGCGGCAGCCAGATTGCTTACCGGAGCGACATACAGGGAGCACACCACCCCCCTGCTGTGTCAGCTCCACTGGCTGCCGGTTCAATTCTGAGCACAATTCAAGGTGCTGGTTTTGACCTACAAAACCCTTCCGGTTCCGGTTCCGGTCCTGTGTATTGTGCCTTGCTTTTGTAAGCCGCCCTGAGCCCCCCCCCCCCCCGGGGTGAGAAGGGCGGGGTAGAAGCAACCGAAATAAATAAATAAATAAATAAATAAATAAATTTGGGAGTTGTAGTTGCTAGGATTTATAGTTCGCCTACAATCAAAGAACATTCTGAACCCCACCAATGATGGAATTAAACCAAACTTGGCACACAGTTCTCCCATGACCAACAGAAAATACTGGAAGGGTTTGGTGGGCAGTGTCCTTTGGTTTTGGAGTTGTAGTTCACCTACATCCAAAAATGACTGTAGACTCAAACAATGATGGATCTGGACAAAACTCTACAAGAATACTCAATATGCCCAAATGTGAACACTGGTGGAGTTTGGGGAAAATAGAATCTTGACATTTGGGAGTTGTAGTTGCTGGGATTTATAGTTCACCTACAATCACAGAGCATTCTGAACCCCACCAACGATAGAATTGGGCCAAACCTCCCACACAGAACCCCCATGTGGGCAACAGCAACGCGTGGGAGCAGCTAGTTGTTATATATATAAAAAAGCCCCAACCTTATGTCTCCCCCATGTGTAGGTGAACACCAGCTATCCTGAGAGGAGCGTTGTGTTTAAAGGCCACGTGGAAGAAGCGGAGAAGGAACAAACACTGCCTGATCCTGTGGTAGCCCAGGCACAGGTCCGATGCCCCATTCCCGGAGGATCAGCTCTCATTACTTTTGAGGATCCTGAAGGTAAACACGGCCATTTCTGGCTGAAATCTTCATAGGCTCCATCATGGTGGCCATCCATAACAAAGCATCAGAATCAGAGCAAAAGGAACAAATTGTGAAAGTCCCTTGTATTTTATACAAGGGACTCCCAGTCAGCTGCGCATCGGGACTGCCTTAAGATCACTACTGACCAAAGGGTCACGAATTCGAAGCCAGCTCGGGTCGGAGTGAGCTTCCAACCATCTGTGTAGCTTGCTGTCAACCTTTGCAGCTGAAAGACAGTTGCATCTGTCAAGTAGGAAATTTAGGTACCACGTATGCGGGGAGGCTAATTTAACTAATTTATGATGCCATAAAAATCTCCAGCAAGCATGCAAAATGAGGAAGTACTTAATCAGTGTCACAAATGGACGGTGAAGCAACAGCTTAGGTACCACTTCTGTGGGGAGGCTAATTTAACTAATTTATGACGCCATGAAATCTCCAGCAAGCAAGCAAAAGAATAAGGAAGTACCCCAGTGTCACAAATGGACGATGAAGCAACAGCTCCCCTGGTGGCCAGAATACATTCATGAAGTTGGAATGTTAAATAGCCTCTGTGTGTCTGTATATGTTGTGTGTCTGTGGCATTGAATGTTTGCCATGCATATGTACATTGTAATCCGCCCTGAGTCCCCTACTGGTTGAGAAGGGTGGAATATAAATATTGTAAATAAATAAATAAATAAATAAATAAATAAATAAATAAATATTCCCTGGGGGAGGGGGGAGCAGGTATTGCAAAAGTGGCCATGTTAGTTGGGAGATTTGTGGAATTGGACTCCAAACAAGTTATATTTTTGAGCTATGATATCTCAGCTTGAACCCAGTTAGTTTCCACTGACTACATAGCTACTACTCAATGACAATTAGCAAAAGAAAGCAGTTGTGGTAAACTTGGAATTCTCCTTTTGATTTATGATTCCGGTTGTGTCCCAAGATTTATTTACCCTGTTCCACAAGTCCACAGCCTCTTCAACTCTTCAAGAAGTGAAGCAAATGGAGACATCTTTCTCCTCTCCATCTTAAGGAAGAGTGGCAATTGATAATTGACAAGAGAGTTGAGAATGGAATAGAATTTCACCCCTGAACTGATCTCTTTCCTTTTTTCTCCAGTTGCCCGTAGGATCATTGAAATGGGGCAGCATCGGATTCAGCTAGACGACTGGACTTATGTCAACGTGAAAGCCGAGCCCATGACTTTGCTCTTGCTCGCATCTGTGGAAGTGAGTTCAAAAGCCTTTTGCCTGCGCTTGAGGAGTGTCCCTGTTTTATGTGGGGTGGCTTTTGTACTTCTGATAATGGGCAGTGTGGTACATGGTGTGGAAGAAGATGCAAATTCTCCATCAAGCATGCATCAGCTCTTATTTAGAACTCGACCTTTTAGATTGGGAGGCCTCTTTTGGGTAACATACGCTGCATTGAAGCCCCACTTCTAAAATAGCCCAGTCCAGTTTAAATATAAAGTCCCTATTATCCATACAAAATGCAGATCAAAATGCAGTGAGTCT